ATGCGGTAATACGCCACATAAATTACTTGGCTTGTGTGTATAAGGCCTTGCTTGAAGTTAATAAAGTTGTTAACCTGGATTAACCAATAGCCAGGGTTAATGCAAGTTAAGGATTTATTACTTCCTGCTCCATCTGATGGTAATCTGTCAAAACAAAGGCCTGTTCATGTCAAGGTAGCATTTATGACAAAAGGCTAAAATATACAGACAGATTTATTATCGTGTTCTAGGCTTCTTATTCTCAGCTTTTTTACAGGATAACTTTTAATAAGCACTTAAATATGTTTATTCCTTTTGGATACACACCTTAATGTGGTGAGTGAGTTTGAGAGCATCAGAGGAGTCAAAAGCAATGCCACCAGGAGGCCAGATTGCCTCACTAGTCTGGTTTCCTAGCAGGGTGGTCCAAGGTAGAATGGAGTGAAGCTGAGACACCGGACTAAGATGCAAAACATGGTGCTGGAAGAGGGCTTTGAGAATGCCCTGGGCTGACAGAAAACTGAACAAGTGGGTCCTAGACCAAATCAGGCCAGAACTTTCACTGGAAGCAATAATGACAAAACTGAAGCTGTTGAGATGGCAAGACTCACTGGCAAAGACAATCCTGCTAGGAAAAGTCAAGGGCGGAAGAAAAGGGAGACTAACTATGAGATGGATTGATTCCATAAAGCTGAGATCCTGAGATTACAAGAGCTGAGCAGGCTGTCTAGGAACGGGTATTTTGGAGGGCTGCCATGACTTGCAGACTTGACAATACGTAACAACTTGCTTAGTGGGTGTACTTTGTGAACAAGAACTATGAGCAGTAACATGGCATCTCATTATTCGTACGTCTGCAGTATCTGTGATGAATAGCAGGATGGAACAGCTCAGACAATGGCACATCTTCAAGGCAAGAAACCCTGTGTGGTCACCACAGTTTGTGCTGGGTCACCTTGATGTGCCTGGCAGCTGATCAGGCTCATGATGGTAACTCTCCCGCTCCTGCCATCACCTTCCCTCTTCCAGGAGATATCCCAGGAGAGAGCACAGGGAGGGAGGAAGCTCTTCTCTTCGACAGCTGCAACTGTGACCCAACTTCAGCTCACTGTGGCTGTCAATCAGTCTCTGCTGCACAAAGAGGGCTTGTACCCTGAAGTGCAGAAGAAAGGACGAGAGAGCTGCTCAGGTACCCTTATTTTCTGCTCGAGGTGGGACCACTGGTGTGGGAGGGAGGGAGGGAGGGGTGTCTGATTCATGCTCCAGTAAAGAGGGTGGAAATCAGCTGGGCAGTGCTGCAGAAAGGAGCAGCACCCCTCAGTTGATTCCCTGTCTGTCTGTCTATCTCTATTTAGAAGGCTTCTATGCCGCCCCATTCGCCGAAGCCTCAGGGCGGCTTACAATAATAAATAAATAAGCACATTATAAAACAATATAATACAGTTTGAGTCAACCTGGCCTGAAAAATAATATAAATAAATAATATTAACAATTAAAATAATGTTTGAATAAAAAGATCTTTGCCTAGCACCGAAAAACAAATAACGACGGTGCCAGGCGGACCTCTCTGGGGAGCGCATTCCATAGGTTGGGCGCCACCGCAGAGACAGCCCTACTCCGAGTACTCACCCTCCAAATATCCTTCACGAAGGGTTCCCGGAGAAGGGCCTCTCCCGCTGATCTCAAGGGGCAGGCGGGCATTTATGGACATAAGCGCTCCTTCAGGTAACCAGGACCCAAGTTGTTAAGGGCTTTATAGGTCATCACCAACACCTTGCATTGGGCCCAGACTTCAATGGGGAGCCAGTGAAGCTGACGGAGAACTGGAGTCATGTGAACATGACGCCCAGCTCCCGTCAGCAGCCTGGCAACTCTATTTTGAACCAATTGAAGTATCTGGACCGTCTTCAAGGGCAGCCCCATGTAGAGTGCGTTACAGAAGTCAAGTCAGGAAGTCACCAACGCGTGTGTCACTGTCGCCAGGCAGTCGTTCTCCAGGAAAGGACGCAGCTGAAGTATCAGCTGAAGCTGAAAGAAAGTGCTCCTCGCGACTGCTGTCACCTGAGCTTCCAGTGAAAGCTCTGGGTCGAGGAGCACTCGCAAGGTGCGGACCTTGTCCCTAAGAGGGAGTGCAACCCCATTCAGGACTAAGTTCAGGTCCCCTTCCCCAAAGCCCGATCCGCCAACCAACAGGACCTCCGTCTTGTCTGGATTGAGCTTCAGTTTATTGGCCCTCATCCAGCCCATTACCTCAGCCAGGCACCGGTTCAGCACAGCCACTGCCTCACCTGGATCAGTTGAAAAAGAGAGGTAGAGCTGGGTATCATCTGCGTACTGATGATTCCGCAGCCCACACCTCCTGATGACCTTCCCCAGCGGTTTCATATAGATGTTAAATAGCAAGGGGGACAAGATGGAGCCCTGCGGAACTGCATGGCATAGCTGCCATGGCGCAGAGCCATAGTCCCCCAGCACCACCTTCTGGAATCAGCCATTGAGATAGGAGCAGAACCACTGCAAAGCAGTGCCTCCGACCCCCAGTCCCTCTAGCCTATCCAGAAGGATACCATGGTCGATGGTATCGAAAGCCGCTGAGAGGTCCAGGAGAACCAACAGGGATGCACTCCTCCTGTCTTTCTCCCTGCACAGGTCATCGTACAGGGTGACCAAGGCAGATTCAGTACCGTACCCGGGTCTGAAGCCGGACTGAAATGGGTCCAGATAATCAGTTTCATCCAAGAGTGCCTGGAGTTGTCCCGCCACCACCCGCTCCAACACCTTGCCCAGAAACGGGATGTTGGCCACTGGTCTATAATTAGTGGCCATCTCTGGATCCAGTGACGCCTTCTTCAGGACCGGTCGGACTACCGCCTCCTTTAAAGGGGCAGGCATCTGACCCTCCCTCAGAGAGGCATTAACCACTTCCAAGATCCAGGTCCCTATCCCATGCTTGGCGTTGTTAATTAGCCAAGATGGGCAAGGATCCAATAGGCAGGTGGTGGGACGTACTCATCCAAGCACCTTGTCCACATCATCAGGCTGCAGTAACTGAAATTCATCCATCAATTTTGGACCAGACGGCGACATTGGTAACTCCCCAGAAGCCTCTGAATCACTAGTGGAGTCCAGCTTGTGACGAGTCTGAGCAATTTTCTCCCTGAAATGCTTGCAAAGTCGTCACAGCAGGCCTTCGAGGGTGGAACCGGATCTTTCTTAGGGCCGGGACGAACCAGCCCTTGTACCACCTGAAAAAGCTCCACTGGACGGCATTGTGAGGAGGCAATGGAAACGGAGAAGAATTTCTTTTTCGCCACCCTCACCGCCACAGCATAGACCCCATAATGGGCTCTTAAGTGTATTCAGTCAGATTCATCCCGTGATTTCCTCCACCGATGCTCTAGCTGTCTCTCAACCCGCTTCATCACCCGCAATTCAGGTGTAAACCAAGGGGAAGAGTGGGCTCTGCCTGGCAGGAGAGGACGCTTAGGAGCGATCGTGTCAACAGCCCTGGCCATTTCCCCATTCCATAGTTCGACCAGAGCCTCGACAGGAGCACCAGTCTTGTCAGCCGGAAACTCCCCCAGGGCCTTCAGGAATCCATCCGGATCCACCTGGCTCCGGGAGTGGACCCACACAAACGGGTCCGCACCCTTACAGAGGGAGAGGCCGCTCTCAAGCACAAACCTCACGAGGAAGTGATCTGACCATGACAGGGGTGTCAGACATAAATTCCTCACCCTCAGACCACCCTCTTCCTGCCCTGTCGAGAAAACCAGGTCCAGAGTGTGTCCACGTTCATGGGTCGGGCCAGTGACATGTTGGGACAGCCCCATGGCTGTCATGGAGGCCATGAAGTCCTGAGCCGCCCCGGTCAGACCAGTCTCGGCATGGAGATTGAAGTCTCCCAGGACCAACATCCTGGGGGTCCTCAACACCAGGTCCGAGACGATCTCCGTCAGCTCAGGCAGGGAGTCTGTTGGGCAGAAGGGTGCTTGGTACACCAGCAGAATCCCCAGTTCTACCCCTTGACACACATCCCTCAGGGAGGCCCTTCCTGTGCACAAGTGGGTGAGGGGATGGTGAGAAGCAGCTGGGTGCAGAGCATGCTTGAGGGCATCCCCACTCCGCTGATTTCTTCACTCAGCCCCCTTTCTTACTCCCACTTGCCAGTGAGGTGTCCAGCCCAGCATTCTTGCAAGTGGCAGCAACACAGGGGAGGTGGTGCTCTCCCCAAATTCTCACTCCTGCTAGCCAGAGGGGCATCCTCAATCCAGGACCCACTGCCCTATTGGGAATGCCTCTTAGTCACGCAGGAGTGGCCAACAGCGGCTCTTGCCAAACTGTCTCATTCTAGTCATCATACCGCAAGAGGTTATGTTTTCCAGGTTTGGATGACACAGCCAGCCATTGCAATAAAGAGTATCCATAGAAAAGACCATGGTTTCTAGTTGTAGTTACTAAAAACTAAACCAACCACAATGACATACCATGACAGCATTTGGATGATGCAACAGATCAAAGGCAGTAAAAACTCACCACATCTTACTGTGATATGTGACTCCACCCATTATGGTTGCTTGACCATGGTGTGCTAAGCATTGGTAACACAAGGGTTGTATCCAATCGGACACTAAAGCTAGCAAGAGAGACCTCTGGTGCAGTGCCAGTACTGTTAGCTGGCACAAGGATCTCCAGAACCAGATCATGCCAGCTAAGACAACTGACATTGCATTTCAGATTGTTTACACTAGTGTGACATAATGCACGCTAATACTAGTGCCCAACTGGATACTAACCTTTGTTTGAAGGATATAATCTGTACTATAGAGTGCAAAAAAAGTACAAATGTGATATGCAATGCCTGAGAGGAACCCCCACCACACACACACACCACTGGTTCTTCCTCTAAAAACAAGTTGCAGCAAATTCTGTAAATAATAGCACAGTTTAGAATCATTACGCTTGCAAAAAGCTCCCCTTTTCCTGAAGCAAAATGTTTCCAGGTTTTTTTTTTTACTTACCTCTGTTAAACCAGAAACCTCCCCTTTGGCCAATGGCCGTGTAATAGATGGTGTGAACACGCTGGCATCCAACACGGGCTGCCCCCTCATAAAGTGCTTTCCAGCTTCAAAAATGTCCACCTCTACCATTTTACCCATGAATGCAGGGCTCTTTGGTACCAAAACCTTGAAAAAAATACAGAAAGGTAATTCTAACTGGAACACTTAAAAGTACTCAGGATTTTCATCCAGAAAAGAAGAAAACTGTGACATTCAAACTCCAAATATTCACATATATTATTTTAGAATTCAGTATCATCTTGGCAAAAACCGTGCCACATTAAATCTACTTTTTCTTCCTGGATCTTAAAGGCACATCCTCCAGATGTGATTATCTACAATAACATTAATTTCTGATGATAACATTTTCTCTCCTTTGATTTATTAACTTCATCTTCTTTGTGCTTACGAGTTGCTTAGTATGACTTTCGTATGCATAATGGTTCATGTAAAAATACTGGCTTTCATGCAACTTGGAATTCATCTACTCTTATAGACATCTACTTGCCAGACCTGTATCTGAGGTCTTCCTGTAAGAGAGACTCAGAGGGTGCCAGCAATGGAAAGGGCCTTCTCAGTTTGTTTCTGCGCTAGTTATGAAATGATCTTCCCACTGGGGCTTGCCTGGTGCCAATATCATCAATTTTGGCACCATGTTAGCTGCCCTGTATGCCCACGACTGGGCATCTTACCTGCTTTAACAGTTCTAACTTCGTTGTTACTGAAATGATTGTAGCTGTTTAAAATTTTGTATATCAAAATTCTATGCTGGATTTTATTGATAAATTTATGTTTGGTGCCTTGTGAATTGCTCTGAACTGATCAGAAAGCTTTGGCTATTGTGCAGTGTAAAAATAAAATAAACAAGCAGCATAGCTGAAAATCACCTGTGAATTTTATGGTAATCAGACATGAACCATTTCTGTCCAGCAGACACGGATCACAAAACTGCTAGTCTCAGAAGTGCATATGAAGACCATCTAAATATGGGTCAGTCAGATACAAGGAAACTTTCAGATGAAGGATATTGTTTTAAAAATGAAAAGTAAATAGATCAAATAGAGGAATTAATGTTTGTATCAGCCTTTCCGATATTTGATGTTCTCTCATTGTGCTGAATTAGTCATTGCACCATATCTTTAGTCAGATACACCTGGACAGCAGCAGGTTAGAGAGGGCTGATCATGTGCTTGTTATAGTTAGGATAGAAAGTTAAGTAGACAGAGAAAGAAAGAACTGCCATCTTTCTTCTTATTGTAAACTTGTACCTGCTCGTAGAATCGATTATGAGCAACATAAAATTTGGAATCAAATGATTCTTCAGTCACAAGAACTTTCTGTCTCTCCCCGATCTGTAAAATGAAAGAAGCAAATAATCAGTCAAGAGGTAACACCATTGCTTACCCTCTGGAGTAATGAGGGTTCAAAATACGTTGTTTGGTTATTCACAGGCTGTTGCTACAAAATTCAGTACTCCAGAGGGAAAGCTACCACTTCAGTTTATTCACATGACAAGCAACCGATCTATGATTAGAAGAAATTAGCAGAGTCTGAGGTCATGCAAACGTTTTTAAAAAGAGATTCAAAGCTCACTATTAATTGTTAAGCACGTTCAGTGTGAATCGAAAAAAGGGCCTGCATTGGTGCATCATACATGGACACATGCATCTTGCACATTCATCTCCACTGTGCAGACATATAGGCACCCATCTTATAATATTGCGCATCTTCCTGAATTATTTTTAAGTGTCTTGAAATGCTTTGACAGCTGCAGTTGCCAGGGCTCATAATTTTATCCATTGTCTAAAAACATTAAGTGCTCTGGCGAAGGGTACCATCAAGATGTAACAGAAAGTAAACTATTAATTATCATTTACTGCCTTCTGTGGCTGGCCAGATAGTGTCTACCAACCATATTTATTTATTTATTTATTTATTTATTTATTTATTTATTTATTTATTTATTAAAACATTTTTATGCCGCCCCATTCGGCGAAGCCTCGGGGCGGCTTACAACATAGATAAAACAAGTTAAAATCCATATAAAATAATCTTAATTAAAACTCACATTATAAAATAAGCCGCCCTGGCCAGATAAAATTCAATTGTATTTAGCATTTAAAATGTTGCTTAAATAAAAAGGTCTTAGCCTGGCGCCGAAAAACAAATAACGACGGCGCCAGGCGGACCTCTCTGGGGAGCGCATTCCATAACTTAGGCGCCACCGCTGAGAAAGCCCTTCTCCGAGTAGCCACCCTCCTAATTTCTCTCACGGAGGGCTCCCGGAGAAGGGCCTCTCCCGCCGATCTCAGGGGGCGACTGGGCAAATATGGATGTAAGCGCTCCTTCAGGTAACCAGGACCCAAGCCGTTTAGGGCTTTATAGGTCATTACCAACACCTTGAATTGGGCCCGGACTTCAATGGGGAGCCAGTGAAGCTGACGGAGAACTGGTGTCATGTGAACATAACGTCCAGTCCCCGTCAGCAGCCTGGCAGCTCTATTCTGAACCAATTGAAGTATCCGGACCGTCTTCAAGGGTAGCCCCACGTAGAGCGCGTTACAGAAGTCAAGACGGGAAGTCACCAGCGCATGAGTCACTGTTGCAAGGCAGTCGTACTCCAGGTAGGGGCGCAGCTGATGAATCAGCCGAAGCTGGAGGAAAGCGCTCCTCGCTGCTGTTGTCACCTGAGCTTCAAGTGAAAGCTCCGGGTCGAGGAGCACTCCCAAGCTGCGGACCTTGTCCCTAGGAGGGAGTGCAACCCCATTCAGGACAAGGTTCAGGTCACCTTCTCCGAAGCCCGAACCGCCAACCAACAGGACATCCGTCTTGTCTGGATTGAGCTTCAGTTTATTGGCCCTCATCCAGCCCATTACCTCGGCCAGGCACCGGTTCAGTACAGCCACTGCCTCACCTGGATTGGTGGAAAACGAGAGGTAGAGCTGGGTATCATCAGCATACTGATGGGTCCGCAGCCCACACCTCCTGATGACCTCTCCCAGCGGTTTCATGTAGATATTGAACAGTAAAGGGGACAAAATGGAACCCTGCGGTACCCCATGGCAAAGCTGCCATGGCGCAGAGCCATAGTCCCCCAACACCACCTTCTGGAATCGGTCGTTGAGATAGGAGCGGAACCACCGCAAAGCGGTGCCTCCGACCCCCAATCCCGCCAGCCTATCCAGAAGGATACCATGGTCGATGGTATCGAAAGCCGCTGAGAGGTCCAGGAGAACCAACAGGGACGCACTCCCCCTGTCCTTCTCCCTGCACAGGTCATCGTACAGGGCGACCAAGGCAGATTCAGTACCGTACCCGGGTCTGAAGCCGGACTGAAATGGGTCCAGATAATCAGTTTCATCCAAGAGTGCTTGGAGTTGTCCCGCCACCACTCGCTCTAACACCTTGCCCAGAAACGGGATGTTGGCCACTGGTCTATAGTTAGCGGCCATCCCTGGATCCAGTGACGCCTTCTTCAGGACCGGTCGGACTACCGCCTCCTTTAAAGGAGCAGGCACCCGACCCTCCCTCAGAGAAGCGTTAACCACTTCCAAGATCCAGGTTCCAATCCCGTGCTTGGAATCCTTTATTAACCAAGACGGGCAAGGGTCCAGAAGGCAAGTGGTAGGACGTACTCGTCCAAGCACCTTGTCCACATCATCGGGCCGCAATAACTGAAATTCATCCAATAATTCTGGACCAGACGGTAGCGTTGGTGTCTCCCTTAAAACCTCTGAATCAATAGTGGAATCCAGCTCGTGACGAATCTGAGCGATTTTCTCCCTAAAATGCTCGGCAAAGTCGTCACAGCGGGCCTTTGAGGGTGGAATCAGCTCTTCCTTTGGCCCTGGGTGAACGAGGCCTTGCACCACTCGAAAGAGCTCCGCCGGACGGCATTGTGAGGAGGCAATGGAAGCGGAGAAGTGTCTCTTTTTCGCCGCCCTCACCGCCACAGCATAGGCCCGATAGTGGGCTCTTAAGTGTGTTCGGTCAGATTCATCACGTGATTTCCTCCACCTACGCTCTAGCCGTCTCCCAACCTGCTTCATTGCCCTCAATTCTGGAGTGTACCAAGGGGAAGAGCGGGCTCTGCCCGATGGGAGAGGACGCTTAGGAGCGATCGTGTCTACAGCCCTGGTCATCTCCCCATTCCACAGTTCAACCAGAGCCTCGACAGGAGCACCTGTCTTGTCAGCCGGAAACTCCCCCAGAGCCTTCAGGAATCCTTCTGGATCCATCCGGCTCCGGGGGCGGACCCACACAATCGGGTCTGCACCCTTGCAGAGGGAGATGTCGCTCTCGAGCACAAACCTCACTAGGAAGTGATCTGACCATGACAGGGGAGTCAAGCATAAATTCCTCACCCTCAGACCACCCTCTTCCTGCCCCGTCGAGAAAACCAGGTCCAGAGTGTGTCCACGTTCATGGGTCGGGCCGGTGACATGTTGAGACAGCCCCATGGCCGTCATGGAAGCCATGAAGTCCTGAGCCGCCCCGGTCAAACTAGCCTCGGCATGGATATTGAAGTCCCCCAGGACCAGCATCCTGGGGGTCCTCAACACCAGGTCCGAGACCGTTTCCGTCAGCTCAGGCAGGGAGACTGTTGGGCAGAAGGGTGCACGGTACACCAACAGAATCCCCAATCTGTCTCGGTCGCCCAACACCAAGAACTGTATGCAAAAAGTCATCACTGAACACACACATTGTTATCTAAGTGTAGTAAAGCCTGCATTCTGTAAGAAAATACAGAGTAAAGTTAATGCAAGAATCCTATCCTTGGACAGACTTCCAACTGGCAGATTTACCTTAAAAAGAATGTGAAATTAAAGAATTCTGAGCTCAGGGATTTGCTTTAAATAGAGTACTGAAACTGAACAGAGTTCACCATCCTACCACACAGAAATCTATTCCTGGTTACACTTCTTACCCCACTTTCTTAATTTCAGTAGTATAATAGAGTGAGTGTACACCACTTGGTTATTGCCACTGTTAAATAACTGAGAGCAAGAAATCTTTTGTCCAGGCATCTGGACATAAGAATCAAATTACAACAAATGACTGCAATGCTTCCTTCTTGGCCCCCAGAACTTGCTTGCTGCAACATGGAGAACCCTAGTGAACAGAGCAGGGAAAGATTTACTCCACCAGTCTCATCTATCCATGTCTCCATGATACAGAGGACCAGCATCTGGACCTGAATGGCTGGTGTATTCCCAGGGATAGTTTTCCCAGATTATTCTACAAGATATCCCAACATATTGGATGGGATCTTTTGATTTCTTCTGGAAGGAGACTTGCACTTTTGATAGACCCCCCTGGGTGAAAGGAAGCTCCTTCCACTTATGGAATGCAAATTGAGGGTCCAAGCTGGCTCTAAGCTTAGTCATACTTAGAGGAGTCCTGCTGAAATGAATGGGGCTTAACTTTGTAAAGACTAAACAAGTCTCACTGATCTCAATGTGCCTGCTCTAAGTATGAGTAAGTGTATTCAATTTTTATATTTAGCGAAAACAAAGCAATGCTTTTCTGGTTTTCTAAAAGCCAGGTGGACAATAAGAAAATGTCAGATGGAGCCAACTCCAGGAAAAATGAGTTTTTCACAAAACTTACCAAGAAAAACAGGCTAACCCATAAGATTCTGACCTTAAACTGAAAAATGTTTCTAATGTCACCACAAAATAATTAATCATGAAAACCTTTCCATTTACTGCAGTAATGTTACATTAATAGTGAACTACTGTAATTACATTTTGCAGAGTATGATGCAGAAATTCTTTTAAGTTAATGAAAACCATAACCTTTCTCTTCCAGTTCCTCACTGAAGACAAACAGAGCACATCAGGTGTAAGCTTCAGATTACACAGCAATGTATAAGCAAATATTTGCTTTCGGGCTTATCGGAAAATAGCAGAAGCCCCTATGCTATGCATGTGTTGCTTCCCCAGTCTCTAAGTTGTTCCTTACATTTCTCCTTATATGCAATACTTTGACAATTAAAGGAAAATATTACTGCAATAAAAAGCTACAAGACTGGTACATACTTACAGGGTTTCCCACAGGTATAGCTGGGAATGTGTGACTGTTGCAACAAAAGCTCATATGGCAGGAGCTGTGTGTGAACACATGTGCCTCTAAGTGGAAAAATATGCATGGTGGAATATGCATGCTTTGTATTGTTGCGGAAGTCCCTTTTCAGATTACAGACTCTGCATGAAGGCTCGTTTTCAAGAAGAGAACCTCTACAAGGCCTACCATCAACCCCCACATGCTTCTGAGATGCTTAGACAGGGCTGCGAGAAGTGCACCAGCCTTCACTTACAGTGTTTGTCTATAATAGGAAGACTGTAGTCAT